CTCGTAGAAATTTTTAAACACTTCTAACTTTCTCAATTTTACTCATCCAGTCAAAAGATGCACATTTTCAGAAACCGGAATGAAAGATGGATATAAAAAACTCACTTTCACATTCACAAAATTAAAGTTTACCGAAATACAAAGACTTTTTTTTCCAGACCAAAACACACACCAAACAACATGGATGCCAGTTACGGTTAGCCAGTTACGGTTAGTTATTAGAGAGGTTTAATCAACCATCCTTAACAACCCGACAGTTTTTAGAAAACAGCCGGACTGGAACCAGAAATTACCTCGGCTCTTACCGCCCTACCACAGAGCTGTACACGAGGCTACCTGCTATTCCCCATTCCAGATTCTCTTCGGTCGGGTTTCTGATCTCTTTCTTGATCGACATCCGGATGCATCTTCATCGCCTGAGGAGTACGTACAAGATCTCCAGACACGATTTGAAGTGAAGATGAAGACCCGTTGCGACACGAGAGCTACAGGTTATCTATTCAATGAAAGGGCTAAGGTGTGGTTGTGGAATCTGATTCAACGGAAAGGACTCTCTCCCAAATTAACAATCGCCTTGGGATGGTCCTTACACAGCCCTAAACAGGCTGAGCGATGTTATAGTTCGGATCCGTAAGTCATCACATTTTAAGCTTAAATTCGTTCATTATGACAGGCTAGCATTTTATTACGGCCATAGTACGTAGTCCTCATATTGTATATAATATAATTAATGAAATAAGATGATTGTCCTTTTAGCATGTAAATTTGTAAATTTATGCTTTTATTTATTGATTTACTATTGGATTTATTATAAGCTATTTACTGAAATTATTATTTTAGAATTGCATTGATTTGCCTTTCCCCTAAGAATGCCGTGCTCTCCAGAGACTGACCGGGACGCCCATTCCTTGGGAAGGGGGCAATGTTACGAATTTTGTATGTATCATATATAAATAAGCTTAATTATATGTAAAATTGTGGTATCTTTTTTGCATATTGTAACATGAAATGCTTGAAATCGCAAATCTCTACCAGAGAATAAAGTTACAGGAGCAAGTGTACTTAAAACTTACACTGAGGTAAACGGCTATTCTGCTAAATTAGCGACATATCTTCAAGTTGGCAATGATTTTAAAGACTAATTGTTGTCACCAAATTTGGTGAGAAATTGCAAAAAGTCAGCAGATTTGGAGAACATTTGACTATCGTTGAGTCCGGCACCTGTACAACTATAATTGGTACTGTACAACTATAATTGGTACTGTAATTGAATAACTCTAATTGATCCCTATATGTAACTCTAAAGCTATTCCGGAGTTTATACGTTAACCGTTTATGCTTTCCAGTAATTTAGAGAAAAGGACGGTACTAGAGAAGGCGCAGTTGCTGTACTGAAAGAATTTCTACATAAGGTGGTTTATAAGTTTTCGAAGTCTAAAAATATGCTGTTAAATTTTTCACGAAGTTTTCTTGCTTTAGGATTATAATCAGGTAACAGTAAAAAATATCACTAAACCACAAATATTTTTCATTTTTAATTAATGTGATTCATATTACGAACTGGCTACGTGCCAACACTAAAATAAAACCTGCCAATGTTTCCTAGAAAACGAATTCAATTCTATAAATAAGACCTCGCTTTTGAAATCATTTATAACAATCCATATTTTTCATAATAATCTATGTAAAATGTTCGTCACTTAATATCTTAACATCAGGAACAATCGCTTAATGATAGAAATCGTTTTCTAAACTGATTTTTTTAAAGCCCGGAAGAAGGGCTATTAGTCTCAAAGCAAGATTTTGCACTGAATCACATTTCAAATAGTTGCCACGAAATATTATCGCCCCGTACTAATTAAAGAAATTAAATAAAGAAGAATTCGAATGAATGTACGCATGTTTTTGTCATTATGAAAAACGACACTACCTAGAGCCATCAAATTTCGAATAACGTAATCTACCACCGAATACTGGCATCTGGAAGCCGGAATTTTGAATGTCAAATTTGTTTTATTGTGTACTAGCAGGGACGCTGCCAGCCTTTGTCTGGCTTTTAAATGTACCAGAAAAATGCCTGAAGAGAACACCAAACATTAAATTTAAAAGCTGCCCAAAATTTTACTCTGCAGAACAACTTCATAAAAAAAAATAATAAAAATAAAAATAAAAATCTGAAAGGTTTCAGATTTTAAATTACGTCCAAATGGGAGTGTTTTTAACATTTTGTGTGTTACCTTTATTTATTAAAAGATAAAAGTGTTTTTTCTGTACAACGTTGCCATTGTTCGCCTTGAAATCCTTGAGTTTGTTAATCAAAAATTCGTTAAAGTTTTACAAAATATGAAATTGATAATAAAGCAGATTCCAAATTTCAAATTTGGATTTCTACATGCCCATATTCGCAGTAGGATTACGTCATTCAAAACTCGATGGCTCGGACATATATATAGTGAACCAACTCAAAATCGCAAAATGAAAACAATAGTCCTTCAGGGACAAAACCACTTTGGACTAAAAAACTGTAAATTAAAAAAAAAGTATTACATGTAACAAATTACAATGAAATAAGCAATATCGCTTAATACAAATATTAATTATCCTAATAACTAAATTAACCAACTTTCCGTTGCTTTTCCTCAACAAACGTCCAGTATCCAAGCGAAACATTAAATTTAAAAACTGAACAGAAAGATCGCCCTCATTTTTCCAAACTTCACTATATTTGTTTACCATATCGACACTCTAGCGCTAGGTTCCTTAACAGCGTTATATTTCGTTCATATTATAACTCAGAATGGACAAAATTTATATCATTTGAAGAATTATCTAATCATTGCCACATGATTTATTCAAATACTATAAAAAATCTAAAACGATGTATAAAAGAAATTAAGACAACAAAACAAAAAAGAAACAGTTTTTCACAGACGATTCCGTATTTCTCATTCAATTAATTCAGTTCTCACTTCGCGACTAGGCAAAAATACATAAAAACTCAAAATATCTACATTAAAACTACGAAGCAAATCTTAAACAATTATTTCTTCGAAAAAATTCCAGAAAGGATTGAGCATGATTTAATTCGCAATAATAAATGAAGGCGTTATCTTTGCTGTTGCGAAGCTTAGTCTTTCTAGATTGGCAATAAATCTACTATTTCTGCTGTTTCAAATGCAAACAAGCAAAGGACGCCATGACAAAAATTATTAGGATTAGTGGCACTTAAACAACTTTTAAATTGTTGATAATTCTAAAAATATTGCATACGGATTTACTTATTAAGTATTAAGGCAAAGAAACCTTAACCGGAAGATAAGAACAACATGATTCAATAATTTTTGAAGCAAAAAATGCACAATTTACAAACATTTAAGAATAAAGAAACAAGGATCACTGAGCCGAGTAACAGAGTGGATATATATATATACATATATACTTCTGGTGCGGCCGACTGTGACCAAAATACGAGGTACACATCTACATGTTATAGCAGTCCTGTATACAAAAGTTCAACGTTCTGAGGCTACTCGTTTTTGAGTTATGCAAGATATATACGTCCGTACGTACGCACAGACAACACGGAAATTTCTCTTCAGAATTCATTTTAAAGCAGTTTTATAATTGTTTTGGAGGAAAAGAGTCTTTTATTCTGTCCTTATGCACAGATGTCACGCAAAAACATCGTTAAATTGCGTTCGATAGCGGTCAAAATGGATATTTTCGTTGAAATATGCTGCCTGAAACTTTTCGCGATTACAATACTTCCTTTAAAAAAGGAGCAGTTCTGTATTTCCCGTTCTACTGGGCCGATTGACGAAATTCAAATTGGGTGTTTCATGTCTTGAAATCGGATATACATTAGATTTATACAGCATTGTTCTAATACACGTATTTTGACATAAAATCGCATTTTTTTCTGAAATGTGATGCCAATTGTTTTCCAGATTTCGATTCTACGACTCAAATTATACCAAACTTCCAAGTTGTGTAAAGATCGCACGAGGAGTTTTTAAAAAATTAGCTCTCAAAATTTTAGCTTCTCAGTGTTAATTGAATTTGATATATATTTATTAATATCGCATTATTTTAATAATCTTACTTGATTCCTTCTTTCCGAATTCCAAATTTAGACTTAATCCAAATATAATTCTCACATTTTCTATGATTTCTTTTTAAAACTTGTATTTTTAAATAATTTTTATAAATTTTTCGAAAACACTTTTATTTATAAACTATAAATTTTTTAACATCATCTTAAAATAAATGTATTTCTAAGCACACTTGCAAAAAATTAGTTTTTTATTCAAAATTTCCTAAGATATACGAGAATTTACACACTGACGTGTTTTGAAATTTGGCATATTCATTGCAAGCGATAATAACGCCAAATGTGTTATACGCACTTTCTTAAAATTATTTGAAAGTATTGAACGTGACCTTTTTTTTTTTCCGCTCGCATACAATAAAAAGAAAAGGAAAGGAAACTAGGTTGCTATAAATTAACACGATCGCCAAATGAATTCTTCTTCTCGCAAACTGATAAAAAGGCGCCAACATAAATTTTTAATTTTTCTGTAAATGTTGCACCAAATTTTAAAAATTTAATATTTAGGCATAATTTGAGTCGTAGAATCGAAATATGGAAAAAAGTTGGCATGTCATTTCAGAAAAAGACAGATTTTATGTCAAAATACCTATGTTAAAACAATGCAATGTATAAATCTAATACATATCCTATATAGAAATATAGAAAGATATGGCTTTTAAAATTAAAGTAAGTTACCATATTTTGTTGATCATTGTTTTTATAATTTTCACCAAACAAATATTGCTCTAAAAGCCTCCAAGCTTCTGCTTAAGGTTAACTTAATTACCCCGGAATGGAATTATTCATAAACTTATTATACAGTTTTGTTCATAAATTGCTTTCAGAGTAATATTTGTACATCCAACTAATAGCATAAATACAAGTAAATTGTAAATAAAAGTGTTCTTACAAGCATATAAGTTTCCAAAAATCTAAATGCTCAGTTCCAGATGTTTTACTGTATGTTCCCGTGTCTCCAAGAGTGAAATAATAAATAAGCATTTGTATCCATTCGGTGTAATACCAAAAGAGATCTGGCTTGGAATCAGTGCAGATAGCCGTATAGTTATCTGCTAAGTGCTCGAAACAAGGTGCACTTTCCAAATAAGCTGAAAAATAAATGTAATCATTATAAATTAGAAGCTTTGGTACTTAAGTATTACGCTATTCTGAAAATGTTTGAAGTAGTTGCGATTTCCTCCAACTTACATCGGAGTGCTAATAGTTTCTTGTTACTTTTCATGTTTACCTTCCTTACCTTGTATGAAATCGTCTAAAACGTTCGCCTATTAATATTGTTAAGAATTTTATAGATAGTTAATTTTATAGATAGTTTTAAATAGTTAATTTTAGTAGAATTATAATTAAAATTTTTGTATTTCCTCGTGCAACGCAGCGCAAGACAAATTTTGAGATAAAGCTATGTCGTAAATGTAAGAATACAGCGGCACATCATTTATTTAACTTTGAACAAATAGATATCTCGGTAATTTAATATCTCCGTAACTCCCCACCCTTTTTGCTTTCCAGAAATCTGAAGAAGCAGAAAATACTAGAAAGATGGGGTGCGACCGGTTGGAATCTGTAAGAGGACGGAGAAAGAACGTCTGAGTTAATATAGAGGCTGTTCACACATATTTTAGACGATGTATATTGTATTCACAAAACTAAATTACATGAAATTCTTGTATTTTAAGTGTTCTATTTGACATCCCTTATTCTGAACTATCTTTTGACACCGCAATTTCCAGGATAATAATGCCTTTTGAAGTGGCAGAAGAGTTATTCTATCCCATTCCTCCCGAACAGCTTTCCAGAGTCCTGTTAGGGTTTTGGATAATGCAGTTTTTAAAAGTCCGAAAGCACAAAAATCCATAGGTGACACATCGGGAGATTTAGTAGGGATATCTGTGAAGGGTATGGCCTTGATACGAGTTTTTTGTTCCATTTCTTTTAGGAAATTTATAGTGGATTTTGATGTGTGACTGCTAGCTTTGTCCTGATGGAGTCTCACAGATGGATGGCACTGTGGGTAAAGCGATGGTATTTCATTCAGAAAAATGGGCGATAAAATATGTTCCTGATAGTATTTGGTGTTAATCTTGAAATTTTTTTGCACTCTCTTTATTTTTAACTTTCCATTATAAGAAAAACCAGCAACAATCATGAATCCCTTAAAACTTTCTTTTGATTCTTTGAACCATGTACTTAAATTTTTTTCTCCCCTTTTATGATAATAAATGGCTCTTTTCTTGTTACAATCATTTAAATACACCCATGCTTCATCTAATGTGACAATTGTTTTCCATTTTTCTTTGGATGAGTGTTTCTCATATAGAATTCTGCAGCGTGTCCTGCTTTGAGCGATATGCTTTGGAAGAAGACGATGCACATTGCGTTTTTTCGATTTCTTAAAATTTAAATCAACGTTTATCATTTTGTTTACAGTGGACACCGAGCATTTTGATGATTTTACAACTGTCCTTTGACTAGGGGGATTTTCTTTTAACATTAAACAACGTACCTTTGCAGTAGTTGAAGATGTCCGTTTTTTCCTTGAATACTTGTTTGAATTTTTGTCCCACTTGAGTTCCCATTTTAACGTTTTTTTTTTTCCCTTTCTTGTTGATGATATTACCTATCGACGCTTTAGATATCACAAAACCATGATTCTCACATCGTTTTTGGATAACAGAGTATGCATATTTCTTTTCGGAAAGAGCGTAAATGTAGCCTTCGAACCACTGCTTTGTGAAATTCGCCATTTTGAATCAAAACAAAACTTTCAAGCCACAGACGATAATTTTGACTTTTAAAAACATAGTACATTTGCAATTACTTCTTTTGCTGCAAACGAGTTTTTTATTACCGCTTACCAAAATCGTCTAAAAAATGTGCGAACAGCCTTTGTATTATACATAGATTTGCTCTATTCTTCAGTAAATGTTTTGAATTTATTGCCAAGTTCAATAAAGTGAAATCTCAAGAAGAGAGACAACAGTTAGTACTTTCTTTAGTAGATATTTTCGATGATCTGGAACTTTAATTTTCTGCTTCTCACTGTAAGATGAATGTTTTTAACAATGCTTAATCGCAACACATCCTTGCGGAGTGCAACTCTACGATTACTGCTTTGCTTCCCGGTCTGTTATGTTTCTGGCCCTTTTTATTTTTCACTTTATTATTATTGAGTATTTTATGTTATGATTGTTCTACTTTCAGCGCCATTAAGGCACATTTACTTCAACTGAGCCAGAACATAGCTAGCAAGAGGCTAGCTACTCGCGGCATATCAAGTCAAGTCAATTCTCAGATAGTTGCTTAGTTATTGTTGTTGCGATTTGTTTAATTCCGCTGAACTGGGTTATCGGAATTAGCCTTGCCTTTAGATAACGCTTTGCACTGCCTTGTATTTTAATGTTTTGAGTAGTCTGAAGTATAACTTCTGATTATACTGCGCGATATTGTGAACACTAGAATGAATATTTCTGAGGAACATTCAAGTGTTCTGATATATTTCTTTTGATAAGAATACATATTTATTAACATATTATCAGACTTGTGCATTCAATCTATTACGAACCCGTACGCCGCACGCAACACTATTTGGTGTCAGGAGTAGGGTTGAGTGCCAATGATACGTGCGATGGAGGAATATTTAAGGAAATTGGTGGCAGCCTTTGCTGCGTTCAAAGAAGAGGTAAAAAGTTCGCCAAAAATTCGTAAAATAAAAGATAGAAGCTGCTCAAGAATCCATCAAAGAGGAGATGAAAGCTATTAAAGAGAGATCAAAACGGGCTAAGAAGAGATGAAACTTCTTCAAGTATCTGTTAATCAATTGAGGTGAAAGCAATTCAGGATTCTGTTAAAGGAGAAACGAAGCTTTTCAAGAAAAGATTGAAGCAGATCAAAAGGAAATGAAAAGAGAAATTTCCTGCATAATAGACAACAAATCCGAGGCTATGGACGGTTGAACTGAGGCCGTTGAAAATAAAGTTGATGACATTCAAGAAAGAGTTTCTTCTGGATAAGAACAAATTGATGAAAGAGTTTCTTCTGTAAAAGAGTAAATAGAACAAAGCGTTTCTGCCGTGGAACAACAAATTGATGTCAGGGTTTCTGCGGTCATCAAAGAAGCTGATATGTTAAAGACATTCGTAGCGACGGCAGGGAGCAAAAGTGATAATTTTAGATTTTTACCCATCGCTGCTCATCCCTATTTGAAGCTATCCGCGTAAAATGCGAAGTCCTCCTGGAAAGTATGTAAGACACAATATTCTGTAGTGGCGGTCGCAAATGGATGGGATTCCCAAGAAATGGCCTGTCATCTCGGCACTTTTCTGAGAGCAGACGCTGCGGATATTCTTCAAACTCTTCCGGAAAACCCGAGACTAGACATTGAAGTTCTACCCGGCGCGTTGAAGCTGCGCTTTGGCGAGATCTATTTAAAAGACTACAGCAGGATTCAATTAAAATCCCTTCAACAGAAGCCCACGGAAACACTCCAGGAGCGCGCCACAGATGTTGAAAAGCCTTTTCGGAATTCCCGACAGAAACAAAAGAAATTCTGTCTTTATACTTCATCGATGGCATCCGGGATCCTGAAATACAGAAAGCTTTGCGAATAGCGGCTATCAAGGACTTAAAAAGCGCTCTAGTGTACGCCGTAAAATTCGAGGCAGCGAAGCAAGCAACTCCTAGAGACCAACACCTAATCAGAGCTGCGCAAGTCCAAGAGCCAGTGGATCAAATGGCTGCTCAGTTAGATGATTTAAGACAAGTCAAAATGATCAAAATTTCTGCAGTGAGTGGCAGCAGTAACGGACTGTCCATCAATGGGCATATCGATGGAGTTCCTTGCAATACGACCTTCGATACAGGAGCCAATGTTATCATCATTCAAAAAGATTTGGCTCAACAATTGCAAAGTAAACTGATCTGGACGGCACCCTGCGTCACCCTCCAGACAGTGTCCGGTTATAAAATTGACACTGATGGAAAATTAAACGTTAACATCACGTTTGGAAATGTCGTTTACCACCATACGGCATATATGGCAGATATTACAGATCCTTGCATACTAGGATTGGACTTTCTAAGGAAATACAATTTTTCCTTAGATTTTTAAAAATAACGAATCATGATCATGACCTTTTCCAGTCAGAAAAGTTTACCCATGCAACATTTCGATACCACGTTAGTTTCATATTATCTGAGGTACTTTTCTAAAATATATATGAAATTTCAATCAATTAATATTAAAATCCAAAGCAGCATTTAGCAATTATTCAGACCTACGATTTTTGCTAATTACTGTTTTGGTTTACTTTTTGCACTATTTAAAATTGTTAATTTCAGTGCATCTAAAAATAGAATTCACTTAACTCACCATAATGAAGAAGAGTACCATTGTCACAGATATCATGTATAAGCCTGACAATCCTTTCATACTGATCGTGACTTTTAAATATTTCATCGCGACATACTTCATCTCCTGTCTTCAGACATGTTAGGTATTGTTTCACTATTCTGTAAAAAACAAAAAGACGTTTTAACAAGAAATTTTGTTAATTTTTCAAGTACAGATTTTTCAAAAGGAACGTTCACATAGATTGCCGTTAAGGGACGGTAAAAAGCATTTTACTTAATCACTACAAGATACAGCACTAGAAGACACAATCACTACAAGATACAGCAATGAAACAGTGAAAATGAATTGTAGCTCGAGATGTAGCAACACTGGAGCAAACACAATCGTTTATAAGCCATGGTATTCCTTACAAACGCACCGAAAGTGTTTGTTTGCAATATATGCTCTGCCTTCGACCCCCCTGGATACATTCTAGATTTTACTTTCACAATATTTATTGTGCCATTGAAAATTTGAACTTCGACTCTTGATGGATTAGAGTTATCATTATTACCTTTTTAATTGACCCTGTTAGAATATGAAAAAGAAAAAGAAAAATGATGGTTATGAGTTATTCGTTACATTTTTGCAACGTCACAAATTACTTAGATACAACGTTAATAAATAACTCAGCCGCATCAATAAATTAGTCTGTTTTCTCTATGTAAACAAAGACTTCCCAAAAGCGGTCAGGTCCAACTCCATTCTTTTGGCACATTTGGTGATACTCCATTCTTTTGATCCATTCTGTGATACTCTATTCTTTTGGCCCATTCTGTTATACATACTTATGTCTTCAAAAATGTGTTTTCTCCAAAATCCTTTAGACCAGCGGTCGCTAACCAGTGGTCCGTGAAAACCTTTTCATGGTCCGTAGAAAAATTGGGCCATTATTTATATTTTTATGAAGATTCAGTTTACTAAATGAAGATTAACGTATTATGGAATATGGATTATACTTTTTTTTAAAATCTTATCTGCAACATTTAGTGAAATTCCTTCTGAATTTAACGACATTTTATCTACTTTTGCAGGAGTATCTAGCGACCTTTGAAAGTGAGAGTTGGCATTTATGGATAAGCTGCTGTTATCAATAACAGGGCGAATTGGAATTCTATTTTCTTTTGAATTACAAACAACTATTTTAGTCGTTAATAACACAGTTTTTCTCCGTGCCAATAGGCAACTTAATGGATTTTTATGACAACCATCTGCATTCTTGTTTATAATTGCATCACTGGAAGTTTCCGTTTCTGTTTTGTCTAACAGTTGATAGATGGCGCCATTGCTGAGCAAGCGATGATTATTAAGTTTACAATATTTAAAAACTGGCTGCATAACACCTTCAGTTTATTAATATTGCTTTGCGTTTGCCGGTTTGTTCTTGCTTTTCGTAAAGTTCCTTTTCAGTGATATGGAAATGTGAAGCTTTGTGTACAAGAAGATAAAATTTTTGTACTTTTCATATAATTTTTCAATGTGAACGAAATGGGTGTATCAGTGAGATGTTAATAGTGTTTTCATTGTTACTCATAATCAAGAGCGTAGTCTGAATTTCCATAAAGGCATGCTGCTGAACCCCAAATGTTTCGAAAATTATATTAACAAATAAAAATTAGAATTACATGTTGTAAGTATCTTAAGTTTTACTACCGTTTATTTTAAAACTTTACTATCCTCTGTTATTTTCCACTTCCGACCAGAATAAACAAGTGAATATGTTTATACAAATTGTACTTGCTAACGCTTAAGTTCTGGCTTTTTGCCAAGAGCAGAGTTAGATGGAGAGAAAGTGAGCCGCATTGCCACAGTATTTCACGCGAGCTTTCAAGCAGTTGTTGTTCGCCTTTAAGGCCAGAGGTTTAGTCCTTTTGATATTTAAAACGTATTGTAGTTTTTCGAAGTTTACGCTTTACATACGTAATCAACTAAAAGGCCAACCTTAGCGTTAGTCATCTGCATCAAGTATAGCTCTTATTTAAATTTAGTTAGTTACTAGTTTTTATATTTTGACTTTCAGACCACAAGTGGTTTGTCTTTGCATCCCGAAGTCAGGGAGCGCCTGTAATATCGTGGAGAATAAAGGGTAATTAAACCCTTTTCATCTTGTCGTCTCTTATACACTCCATAAGACATAATTAGTAGTACTGTCTCGTCAGGATACTTCATGTTCCCAAAGCAGACAAAGAGAAATGAAAGTCCTGATAACGTACTGGAAAGTTGAATATTGTTTTTGCGTATTAATGTGTTGTTCTTAAAGTCTGATTTAAGGTTTTTTTTATTATTTATGTTAGTGGTATAAGGTATTTCTCCCACTTTCCTAGCGTGCCTTCGTGGTGTAGTGGTTCTGCACGCTAGACCGGTATTCCATAGTTCGATTCTCGGCGAAGGCGTTTGCTCATTTTTCATTACTCCTGCTATAAAAAAAATCCTAATGTCCCTACAGTGGTCCGTGAAGTTCTAAGGGTTGATGACCGCTGCTCTAGACTAGCAATCGCCGACCATTAGAACTTCATGGACTACTAAATGTATCATTTATTATTTGGCGGACTACTAATATGTTAGCAGCTATTTCTGTAATAATATTAAATATGCAGATTAATTTTATGTAACTAAAATGTTCTCATGGTTTAGTCTCATATCTTTTTCTATATAAATAACAATCACTTATTTTGATAGTTTTAGTAATACTGAACAGCATATAACGAAACGAATTTAGAGACAACTTACAGCAATTAGAGACATAAAATATTTCATGACAATTTATGTCCATATGCTTACGGTAATTTTAGAACTACTCTGAAAGATTTATAAAGTCTGGTTTTCTTACTTATCATAAATTGTATCCAAAATGTAGGTAAACTGACAGCGAATTATCGCTAAATCTAAAATTAACAAATAAGACTTGAGAGGGGTGTGAAGAACACCTTTCATTTTAACTACAGCAGAACAAAACGCACACCTGGTGCTCACATACTCAGCCATCACCTATGACGAGATAATTTAAAGTATAAATTAAAATTTAAGTAAGTGAAAGACTATGAAATTCAAATTAACGTGAGAATTGTTCACAAATCTAACCGGCTTAAGTAATCAAATGTCGGCCGCTAAAAACGCAAAGCCGAGGAATTATTTTCTATTTCTAGTTGGAGAAACAAGCAACTTAGACTCAAGATACAGAAACATGCCGAATTTTACAATCTAGAGGAAACCTCAGTTTAAATATTCATCAAATTATTTGCATTCTGGTATAGAAGCGGAAGACAGAAGTGATAGTAAAGCTCTATATCATATTAACTGGTTAGATAAACATAACGGAACGTTAGAGATTTTTATAGAGAATGTTAGACTGCGTTCAGACGGCGGCGTAAAGGGCATAGAGGCGTAGTCATAAGAGCATAAAATACGGGAGTTCCGTTCACACCTGCGAGAACGGAGTGTAAGCCGTAGCCAATGAGAGAAGCTAAATTTGCGCATGCGTGGATGCGTCTACAACTTTCCCGCGCTGTTCTCCTGCTCGATTGATTTCCCGCGAGCGCTCTGCTTGTTTTGTGCTGCAGAACTTCGCTTCGTTTTAGCTTCGCTCTGATTGGTCGGCGCTTATCCCAAACTCGGCGTACAGTTGAAAACTTTAAACCCTATGCCACGAGCCCTAAACCAGATTTTGTGATGTAGTTGGCAACAGAGCTCGGTTTTAACCCTTTACGCCCCCGTCTGAACGCAGCTTAGAGAAATAAGCCATTAGCTATTAAAAACACTTACGAACATCCTGGCTCGAATTGTTCTTCATCTCTTGGGAAAAAATTTACAGGTTCTAGTAGTCGCCTACATCTTGATCTAGGAGATTCTTCGCAAAGTTCTTGTCGAGTCTGTCCTATAAGTACGCAGTCTCATTACTTTTTACGTCATGTCTTTCGACAGGTATGGAATTTTGCATGCTATTAGTGCAAAAAAAAAATTGCGATAAAAATTTACCACAAAAATCTTCGAAAATAGTTTCAGTTTGTTATCATCCTGAGTAACTCGTTAAACAACATGAAAATGTTTTTTAATTGATTTGTTGTAAAATTCTATAACTTATTTTGATTACATTGCTATTTTTGTATTATTATTGTGTACTGTGATATTATGTATTATTTTATTTGCTTAATTTTTGCATTTATGCTAATCAATTGTTCCAGGGTATAAGGTATTTCTCCCGCCTTCCTAGCGTGCCTTCGTGGTGTAGTGGTTCTGCACCCTGGGCCGGTATTCCAGAGGTCCGTGGTTCGATTCCCGGCGAAGGCGTTGCTAATTTTTCATCTCTCCGGCCTAAAAAAAATCCTAATGACTCTACAAGGGTTTTTATTGCTTGTGTAATAGAAGCTTTGGCCATGTTATATATATATATAATTTTCATCGCACCCCCCCCATATAATAAAGTGTCAAAATATTTTCTTTAAGAATATTTCTTTTAAGAATTAAACACTGCTGAATTCGCATTTAAAAGGTCTATAATTCTGTATAAGAAATATATATATATATATATATATATATATATATATATCAGCAGTGTTTTAAATTCTTAAAAGAAATATTCTTAAAGAAATATTTTGACACTTTATTATATGGGGGGGGTGCGATGAAAATTATGACTGAAAATTGGGCCGCGAATACTGAAAGGTTCAGTTAAACAAACCAAATAAAAGAACTTAATTATTTAAAGAGTTTAGCCTCAGGGGAGAGAGAATGTTGAACATGTGCTTCTTCTATGTCCTAAATATAAGAACGAAAGAAAAGTCTTGAAACTGGAACACTGGCCTCCAGAATTTTATCAATTTATTTCCGAGAGAAGTGCTTTTAACACTTTTTGTCAATTTATTGTGAAACTTTGTAATCATCCTTAATTTTATTTCAGTTTTTTTTGTATTGTTTTTCATACTTACTTCTGTAAGCCCTATGTGATACTATGTGGTACATGGGGAACTTATTAAGTTCTTTAACTTAAAAAAAATGGGCTTTGACCCTAAGGGACTATTGTTTTCGTTTTGCGATTTTGCGTCGAATCACTCTGAATGGATGTTTCACTTTTCAAATTGTTGCCAACAAATATTATCACCCTGTATTATATTTGAAGAAACTAAATAATGAAGAATCTGCATAAATGTATGTATGTTTCTCGCATTGTGATAAAACAACGGTACCTAGAGCCATTCACGTTTGAATGGCGTCATCCTTCTACGAATATGGGCATTTGGAAGCCCAAATTTGAAATTTGGAATTTGTTTTATTATCAATTTCATATTTCGCAAAACTTTAACGAATTTTTGATTGACAAAGTCAAGGATTTCAAAGCGAACAACGGCAACGCTGTACAGAGAAAACATTTTTATCTTTTAATAAATAAAGGTAACACACAAAATGTTAAAAACACATCCATTTGGACGTAATTCAAAATCTGAAACCTTATCTCCCAGCTGATTATCAATTAACTCGACCGCGTTCTGAGAGTTGTTATTATACAGTGTAGCCAAGTTATACAGTGTATTATACAGTGTAGTCTGGAGGCTTCGGAAAGAATCGCTTATAGGGCTTCAAAAATGTGTTTTCTCCAAATCCTCTAGACCAACAAACCATTAGAACTTCATGGACCATTAAATGTATCATTTTATATTTGGCGGACAACTAATATGAATTTAGAAAAAAATCTGAAGTGGACACCACATGACTTCCTTGTATGGCCTATTAAAATTTTCAAGTAGTTTTCCGCATAACACTTACCTCGAATTTCATGAGACATATATTTCTCATTTAATTAACTCGGTTCTCATTTCGCGGCAAGACAAAAATACCTAAAACTTCAGAACATGTTCATTAAAAATAGTAAAATACAAAAAAACATAAAACACAAAATCAGTTCAAGACAGTTAAAGAAAATCAATTTTTGCAATCAAAATTAGAGTTCCTATGCAAAACAAGCAATTCGACCAGCGGGCAGGAACACAACGTTTTCGGTGCACAAAATTGAAAGTTAAATTTTTGTCACACTGGGCAAAAAGACACTGAAGTTGATGCACACATTGATATTTTTCATTATTTTACCAATGTAATGTCTCGTTAGGCTTAGCACCACTTAAAATTTTAAATTGTTGATAATTCTATAGATTAAATAAAGCATACAGATTAAATAAAGCAAAAAAACTTAATCGTAACATAAGAGCAGCATAATTCAATCACTTTTAAAGCAAAAAACTGCACAATTATCGAACAGCTAAGATTAAAAAAACTGAGCTCACCGAGCCGAGTATTAGATTGGGTATATATTTATTTATGTACGTAGGTAAGTTGAAAAATAAGTTTCCCCTGTCGACTGTGGTCAGAGTTGTGTATAAAAGTCAAAAAATAGAATGAGACATTAAAGATATGACATACCTTTATTTTATTATTCTCGTACGAGAATTCACGTACGTTGAGACATTTGTCATTTCGCTTGATAAGCTTCAAAAAGTCCTCCAAAAAAATTCACGCTTTGCATATGGAAGAAGCGTTGAACGGTTATGGGCGAAATGCGACACAGCAGGAAAACGCGCAAGTCACCGATACACCATTGGGTAGAGGTTGCTGCAAATCAAGCAGATGGCGCTGTTGCAGTGCCTGCGCAAAGCGGAGACCAGCCTCTCATTTGAGCCCCGGTAGGTATGGAAAGAAGGTGCGTTGTGAATTCGTGGTTAAAGGAGGAAGTGAGAGCGGTTATCCGCTATGAATGGGCACGTGGAGTATCAGGAACAGAAATTCATAACTGCCTCGTGGAAGTCTATGGACCAGGTGTGATGTCGAAGCAAATGGTGCGGAGATGGTGTCGCACATTCAGTGATGGACGTCAGCAAGTGGAGGACATACCGAGAGCTGGACGGACGCGCACGGCCACTACAGATGCAAATGTCAGGAAGGTGGATGACATGATTAGAGCGAACCGGCGTATCACCATCGATGAAGTAGCGGAAGAACTTGGAATCTCACATGAGCGAGCTCAAAACATCATCCACGACATTCTTCGATACAGAAAAGTGTCAGCACGATGGATGCCCGACAATTGACCTCGACACACAAGGAACAACGCATGGGGGTCAGCCTGGAACATCTCGTGCGTTACCATGAAGATGGCAATGACTTTCTGTTCGGATTGTGACGGGGGATGAAACGTGGGTCCACCATTTCACGCCCGAATCGAAGGCCGCATCTATGGAGTGGAAACATCCGTCATCACCTGTCCGAAAGAAGTTCAAGACAACTCCCTCTGCAGGTAAAGTGCTCCTCACAGTTTTCTGGGACGCCCAAGGAGTTTTGTTGCTGGACTTTTTGGAGGTTGGAACCATCAATGCTACGCGCTACTGTGACACCCTGTCGAAATTGAAAGAGGCGATTCGGAAAAAGCGGCCTGCCCTTCTCACATCTGGCGTTTTGCTGTTGGATGACAATGCCAGACCACATTCGGCGACGGCAATGCAAAACCATATTGCAACTCTTGGTTGGGAGCGCCTACACCATCCGCTATACAGTCCTGATCTCGCACCAAGCGACTTTTATCTGTTTCCGGCTTTGAAGAAAAATCTCGGGGGAAGGCGCTTTGGAAGCAATACTGAAGTGAAACAAGCCGTTCAACGCTTCTTCCATATGCAAAGCCCTGATTTTTTCCTGGAGGGCTTTTTGAAGCTTATCAAGCTATATGACAAATGTCTCAATGTACTTGGTACCTATGTGGAAAAATAAACGTATGTCATATCTTTAATGTTTCATTCTATTTTTTGACTTTCATACACAACTTTGACCACAGTCGACAGGGGAAACTTATTTTTCAACTTACCCTCGTATGTTTGGTGCAGCCGATAGCAGCGAAAAAGGTAAAAGGAATAGTGTACGACTAAAAGTTATAGCAATCCAATAATAACATTTCAAAATTCCGAGGCTAATCGATTTTGAGTTATGCGAAATATATACGTATGTACGAGACTTAAGGAAAAAAATCTTTTCTCTACCTTACTGAGAAGCAAAAAATTTCAAGAAACTATAAACCAGTAAAACGTGCATACTTGCATTTGACTTGCTCTTCATTTTTATGTTTCTTTTAACGTCTGTACTCAACGACATAATTTAATTCCTATATTATTTTTATTTATTTTGACTATATTTGTGCAAAACTAGATATAAATATGTAAACAATATTTGTAATATATAAAAGATACTTGTGTAAAAATATTAAATAACATTCGCAAAAAGTAAAATTTGCTAGTTTGAAAGCTGAAAATGTCTGACGATACAAAACAAAAGCTCTATAAAATCTTATGTGCACACCACATGATTTCCTTGTACGGAATATTAAGCTATACGGAATTTTCTTGCATTTCATTTAAACATATTGCATTAACATTTAACGAATTTGGAATTAAATATAATTCGTAGATAGCGCATAAACCACAATAGAATAAATGCACTCTCAAAATTTCACTGTATTTATTTACCATCGCGACACTTCGGTGCTAGGTTCATTTAACAGCATTACATCTCATTCATTGTATAACTCATAGTGCACAAAAGTTATATCATCTGAAGAATTACCATAAGTTCTATTCAAATACTATAATAAATCTAAAACGATATCTAAAAGAAATTAAACAAATAAAATCAAAAAAAAAAAAAAAAAAAAGTTTTCCGCAGTCGAATTCAGCACCGCTTACCTAATACGCATGCGTTACTAATTAATTCACTTCGCGGCAATTCAAAAATACATAAAAATTCAACATATTTTCATTAAAATTTGAAAGATATAGAAAAACATAAAACACCAAGTACAGTTAAAACAATTAAAAAAACAACATTTACAAAAGCATAATTTAA